ATGTTCAGATATTATTAGATTCATGGGAAGAATAAAAATGACCCAACTTGAATTTGTAAAGGTGAAAAGTAGATATTATGGGATGGAAAATAGGCTGGCCCTAGTGGCAGATTTAAAATCAGAAGCTGTCCGGAACTATAGCACCGTGGAGAGAGGCTGCAGTGGCTTCTTTGCTCAGGTAGGCATGCTTAGGTTATGTTTGGACTTATGGACATTTCACACTTGCTGTGACTTCTGCCAAGGATCACTCCCACTCTGTATATGACTTTCCCTTCACTCTCCGAGGCCTTTAAAATTAACACAAAGAGTTCCTTTTATCTGCCTTTTGAAAATAAAGGCACATTTATTAGATAGCCTGTCTGTCTCCCTCAATCCAGGCTTCAACGAGAGTTGAAGGAGGTTATTTAACTTGGTCCTTAGCAGATGCTCAAATGGTTACTCAAAGAGTGAACTCTGAGTAGATACAAGATTATGAGGGCTTATAGCTATACTTCTGTGCCTGAGTGGATAAACAGTAGTACATGGCAAACAGTGGAATACAGTAGTCACTATTTCCACAAATACCAGCTATCTGATACACGCCAAACATTTAGGTGACTGATGTAAGAAGCTAGATCCATGAAGTCTCACAAACATAACTGCCTGAAACATGAGCTGAAACAAGACCACCAATAGAAATGCTAACCTGGAAGGGGAGGCTCACAAGACCTCAACCCTAGTTAAAAAACAAATCCTCAAAAAATTACAGGCAACCAAGGGATGTTGAGAGTGGGCAGAACACGGCGACTGGTTAGACAATACCATTTATATTTATTTANTATATATATACACACACACACACACACACAAATAACAGACTGAGCAGATTGCACCTACATATTTAGGAATTCACACAGACATAAAACAGCCATGAGTTTGAAAGAGTAGGGGAAGGAGGACAGAAAAGGGAGGAAATAATGTAATTTCAAAATCTAAAAACATAATTCTTTGAAAGAGCCCTAATTACCGGAAACTCATTTCTAGTGTGGGAGACGAGACTAAAAAGCGAGAGCTATACTTTTCTTTACGGTGACCAGAGTTGGGCACACTGAGAAACTGACCAGAATTTGGTGCTCAGGGGAGGATTATCTATCAATTAGAAACATTTTAAAAATTGAGATCTGTTCAAGGTCTGCAAAACAAAAAACAAAAGCCAACCACTTAAAATGACTTGGTCTGCAACAGATGTGCTTGATGAGGAGCAGAATAAAGCAGCGCAGGGGCTCCTGCTGGCTCCAGCCCTGGGGAAAGCAAAGCTAGAGGCTGCCCGGATCCAGGAGTTGGAGGACAGTCTTCACGAATAGTAAAACTCTCAAGACAGTAATTTTGTTTTTGTTTTTCAGGACAGGGTTTCTCTGTAGCTTTGGAACCTGTCCTGGAACTAGCTCTTATAGACCAGACTGTCCTCAAACTCTCAGAGATCCACCTGCCTCTGATTCCCCAAGTACTGGGATTAAAGGCGTGCACCACCACCTGGCTCAAAACAGTAAATTCTTAAACACGTATTACTTCTTTACCAAGAAAACCAGGGGGTTGGCGAATTAAAAACCAATTTCTGGTTCGTTACTGATAGCATTTGATTTTTGTTCCATCTGTCACTGTACGTGTGTAAACACACCAGCCACACTGGAGGAGTTCTTCTCAGTTGTTGTTTTCCTACCATATACTGGACAGGGCCTAAACTCAGGTTGTCGGGTTTGGGGGCATGCACTGTAGCCTGCTGAGCTACCTCACCAGCCCCAGACTGCATTTTATATCAAGCTATAGGACAGGCAGAATTGGTAGAAGATACTATTGGGTCAATATGAAAATTGGTTGAACGGGTTGGGTTATGGTTTACATAAACAGTACAAAGTTTAAACACAGACTCGGAAAATCGGTTCAAGATGAATATTAACCTCAGAGTAACCATTAAATATTAATGCAAAGAGATGTAACTGAAGCGCCAAAGGGTTAAACTGAAATAGAATTAAAAATATTCTGGTGATTTAATAAAGTCAGGAAAAAAAATTCAAATGTATTTCAGACCTCAAGAACAATGGAAACAACACACCAGAAACTTCAGACTGTAGCTGAGACAGTTGCAGCTTAAATATTAGTATTGGAAAAGAAGACAGCTGGACCTGCTGTGCACCAGTCCCAGCTCCTGCTCTAGTAATGCAGTGAATATGAGGTGACCCTGGCTACAGGAACGAGAACAAGTCTCATAAAACCAAACAATTAGGAAGACTGTACTCGATTTTAGGCTCCACCAGCACTAAGAAAGTATTAGGACAACTTGTATTCCTTGACTCAGTAGATTGGTCCAACTGAGGGCAAAGTGACAGCAAGTACTACAGTGGCAGTTACGGGCAACAAAGATATGCCAAAGCAATAAAGTTAAACCTGGCAAAAAAGGTAGAAGATGTCTATAATGAGAACTTGGAACATTTTACCGAAGGACATTTAAAAATCTTAACTAGAGCTTGACTACTCCAGAATTAGCAGTGGGCTTGATATTGTAAAGATGAAAACATTTCCCCAAACCATGACGGGGCTCATTCTACGCTGGCTAAAGATCCGAGAGTTAGAACTTGCTTCTTCAAAGTTATTGTCAACAGTTCAATTAACAGGTATGGCTAAAATCCAGACCTAGTTTTTCAGGTACGAAGCAGCTCTGTTTCTACCTCAAACAAAAGTCTAAGGCTCCAACTAGGTTCCCACTCTCTTAGGGAGATGACTCTGGAGTCCACCCGGGGAGTGGTTTGCCTAGAGCATGTTTTAGTCTAGGGTGTGTTACTTGTCTTGTTTTGGGAACAGAATATTTAAGAATGTAGCCTCTAATCCTTCAGTTGCTCTGTTTATTCCTGGTATCATATGAATGCAGGTTTTTTTTTTTTTCTAAATCTTACTCCTACCTTTTGAAGTCTGGGCATTTAAGCAAATGGAAATTAAATGCAGGTGATTTTCAGTATTCACTGGAACTCCCTCCTGGTGCTATCCTGTTTCTGTTTTATTATTTTCACCCATGTCTTCATTCTCTTTACTTATGTTCCTAATCCCCATGCCTCTATTTTGGTAAGTAGTATCCTTGTTGAAGCTTGTCTCCAACATAATTCCACTGGGATTCAAAAGACCCAAAGGGAAATGCTATAGGTGGTTTCATATGGAAGAGCCAGGGGCTAAGTGTCCTGCACTCAATCCTGAAAATATTCAAGGATTGCTCTATAGCTACCAAATACTTTAGTAAAAACTGTGTGTATGTGTGTGTGTGTGTGTGTGTGTGCGTGCATTAACTTGAACACATGGCATGGATCAGAAAACATTGCTGAAGTTGTCTTTCTACCATAGGGGTCTCAGAAATTGAACTCAGGCTTAGGCTTGGAAGTAAGCACTTTTATCCATTAAGCTGTCTTGCTGGCCCTGTCAAACCTGCCTATAAAGCTGTAATCATGTAGATACTATTTATTGAGACACAATTGCAAATAGAATAGTTGAGCTGAATAGATTGCCCAACCTCTTAAGTTCAGGGAGGAGTGGAGTTAGCATGGAGTAGGAACCACACAACAGTGAGCAACAACTGTCTCACAGGAACAGAATGTACAACTGTCTCATGGGAACAGAATATATTGTCCTTAGCATAAACACACACACACACATACATTGATTCCAAGTGTAGGAAAGACTCAAGTATGGAAAGAAAATTAGAGACTGTAAAATGTTTAGACAAAACATAATGTGCAAACTAAAACAGACATGGCAGCATCTATCTTGCTATATTGTCATGGCAGGGCCAATGAGATGGCTCCACAGGTTGAGGTACTAGCCACTTGTCTTGACCATCTGAATCTGACCCACAAGATGGAAGAAGAGAACAAATGCAACATAAAGTTAAAGTCGGACCCAGTAATATACACCTTTAACCCTAGTTCTCAGGAGGCAGCAGCAGATGCAGCTCTATGAATTTGAGGCTGGGGTCTACTTATAGAGCTCAAGTCCAACTAGGGATACATATTGAAACCCTATCTCAAAAACAAATTAGAAGTAATATACAATAAAAATGTAAGACAAAAATTGGTAGAAGTATTTATAACACCAATACCATAGGAGACATTTCTAGAGTACGAAATAAAAAGGTTCTTATAAACCAGAAAAAATGGATACCCAGTCTAATTTTTAAAGAGGGCTAAGGATGCAACACATCTTTAACCAATGTTTAGCCATCCAAACTGGGCCAAGCAGGTACTAGAGGTCAAGTGTAGGCTTTGAAGCAGAGGTAGTGGTGGAAGGACAAACTCCTTACAGCAGACCAAAACCAAAAGGGAAAACAGGACTGATCATTTTGAGCCACATGTAAATATAGAATTCATTTAGCAAAGAACACCATTAAATATAACAAGGCTTTCTGCACGAAAAAAGGATGTCCAACTTCACTGAGTAAGATGCAAATTGAGGCCACATGAGATCCATTCCACATCGACCAGGTCAGACCACAATGTTTGCTGGTGAGGATGTAAAGAAAATGAAGTAGTAAACAATAGCCTTCCAATGCTAAAAAAAAAAAAAAAAAAAGCTTTAAACTTTTAAACTGAGGAAAACATTTTGTAAAATCAGCCTTTGTCCTCACAAAATCTTCTTGACCAATGCTCTCAGCAGCTTTACATAACTTTTATTGAAAAGTAATTAAGCCATCAACCAATGAATAAACATTCTCATGCAGTGGAATACCACTTGTCAATAAAAAGTAAAGAACAACTAACATGGAAGGATCTTTAAGATACCTTCCCAAGCGGGGGGAAGGCAAACAAAAGTATAGATTGCATCGCTCTGTTTAAATAGAGAAAATACTGCAAAGTAGGTGACAGAAAACAAATCTGATGCTTAAGGGATATTAAGGGGCTGCCAAGGGAGAAATTCTTCAGGTGATGGACGTATGCACTATCATGTGTTTTCACAGGCGTATGTGATGGCAAACTGTAACATTGGAAATATAAGTAGTTTATTGTATCAGACCTCAATAAATCTTAAAATATCAGCAAAATCAAAAAACTTTCACAAAATATATCTGGGTGAAATATAAGCAGTTTTAATGTATCAGACCTCAATACATCTTAAAAATATCAGCAAAACCAAAAGTCTTTCACAGATACACCTGGGTGAGTGACTAGATGGGGAAACTACAAAGAAGTAATAAATAACTCTGAAACAAGACTACTTGGGCACAGAAAAGAGAAGGAGGTGCCAGTGTGGAGGAACAAAAGATGCTCTTTGGCCCTTCTGGTACTGGCTGTTTCTGAAACTGGGCTAGGCAAGTCGCATGTCTTTATGGTTATTTTAGGCAGGTGCCTGCTTTCTATTACCCTGTGTACATATGCAGTCTTATAACTGGGGCGGGGGGCAAGGCACAAGCCACTGCCCAGGCTGTATTCTATCGTTTTGGAGCAGGGTCTATGCAGAATAAACCATCTGAAGGACTAAGTTCTTTAAACTTTTCATTTGTTTCAGGTGGAAGAATTATCAACTGCAAACAACTGGAGAGATTAAATGAAAAGCTATCGTAAACTTCCTGATAAACCACTGTCTGTGCCAGTTAATACTTGCACTCCTCCCACAAGCTTCCAGGGTACACCTCCAAATACAAGCGGTTGAGCATGCACGTGGTACACATACATAAATACACCCAACACATTTTCTTTTTTAAGAGTAGTTAATATTCTCGGAGTCATAGCTAAAACAGAATTATCTTCTTTGCATGCGTTTTTGCCTTGAGGCATGGTGGTCAAGCAGTCTGAGTAATGGCCCCGACCCTCTAGTTGTTGCTTAAATCAACCGACTGAAACACAGCCTGAGGCAAACCCATCACGGTTTGCGGTTGTCTTCTCCAGACGCTGGAAAGAAGGTCTTGGAATCCGGCGGGCCACAGCAGGCAGGGTAAGCGGAGCCTCGGGCTAAGCAGTTACCTCCGCCGCTCCCGCCCGTGGGAGCCCAAACACCAGTTCTGGAGCAGAGAGGGCCGCAGGGTATAGCAGCAGGAGCCATGCCCCGCTTCCACCAGTCACAGCCTCCCACGCCCCGCCTCCTAGAGGCGCGCACTTCCGGCCACAAAGGCGCTCGGGAACTCAAGCCGTGAGTCTGCACCAACCAGCGGCCGCGTCGGGCCGGCGCGACTGCGCGCGCATCGCGGCGCAGGTTCGAATCTCGGGCGCCTCGCTGCGGCTCCCCAACGTCCCGGTCGCCCTCGGGGCGCCGCAGCCTGCTGCTCTGCGCCGCCCTCCGCCCTCCCTCCGCCACCGCGTGCCACCCATCCCCGGCCCATGGCCAAGCGGCGTGCGGCCGAGCCGCTCACGTTCCGCGTGCCTTGGAAGCGGCTCTTGCTCAGCGACTTCCCCGAGGGGCCACCGCTCTGGGCCCCGCCGGCTCGGTCCCGCAAACGGCAGGGGGACGCGGGGACCATGGTGGAGCCTGCGGCTGCGCCCAGCAAGCGACGTGGCGGCGGGGACGGCGGCCAGGAGCGGCAACTTTGCCGCGGCCTGGAGCCGGGAAAGCCACCTCCCGGCGAGCAGGAAGAACCCCGGGGCGGCGGCGACGACGGGATGGGGAGCGCGGGCAGCGGAGCCGACGGGGCGCACGTCCAGGTAGGTCCGCCCCGCACCAGCCCGGAGCCGGGTCCCAGACTGCGGAAGTCCGGCCCATTCGAGGGGCTGGACCAAATGGTAAAGACCGTGGTCCTGAGGGTCAGCTCAGTGCAAGCCGGAGAGTTTGGTTTAACGGCGATTATTGTAGAACTTGTAGTAGGTTTTCCCCTAGCATCCACCAGTTATTTGAGCTTGGTGCTCGGCTGGGCAGAAGGGAAGGGTGTCGTCTGGTCTTAGGAGAACCCGATAACTCATAATGTTCAGTCCTATGAGAAAGGGTGGTGCCGCTATCTGTTTTGGCAGAGATCTGTTCTGGCCATGAGATCCAGAAAAAAACACTAGAGGTGCAACTTATCCAAATTTATGTGTTGTAAGTGTATAAAAGAGTAGGCTCTTAAAATTTGGTTAACGATAAAAGTTCAAAGTTGCCCGCAGTGGCGATGCACACCTTTAATCCCAGAACTCGGGAGGCAGAGGCAGTTGGATCTCTGAGTTTGAGGCCAGCCTGGTCTACAGAGGGAGTTCGGGCACAGCGGTGGGGGCGCGCTACAAAAAGAAACATTGTCTCAAACAAAACAAAACAAAAAATGGGTGAGTCTCAGGGTCTGTGCTTTGTTAAACACAAAGTAACTTTTCACTTGTTGGGTGGAATGAAATGCTAATTTTACTTTGTAAAATGTGGAAAACTCCAAATGGGTTTATAAACGCACATTGTATTTGTACCACACGGCCTTGACCTGACTTGAGAACTCCCGACCTGCCTTTAAAGCAGTTCTGGTATAAGTTGGTGGAGGTTAGGGTATTTGGCAAGTGCGATTCTCAGAACTCAGCAAAACCACCTCAACCATCTTGGAATGATGCATCTGCTTAATGTCTTTTTTAGTGTCTTAAACGTTTATGACAAAAGTTAAGAATCATGCCATAAATAAATAATTGAGATACATTTGAGAGGATTTCTTTGTGTTACAGAGTGTACTGGAACTCTCTTTGTAGATCAGGCTGGCCTTGAACTCACTGAGCTCCACCTGGCTCTGCCTCCCCAGTGCTGGGATTAAAAGTGTGTCCCACCACCACCTGGCTCAAAGGGAGCTTTTAATATCTGCCACAGCATCTGCTTTAACTCAGTTGGGTCTTGCCTCACACATTGGCCAGATATGGCAGTTTTTACCCTGTGTTAGTTGCAGCCAGATGGCGGTCATGAAGCCCTGCAATGTTCTGTTAGGTCTGTTCTTGAGTTTCTTCTCTTCTGCGGAACTATGAAAAGACAGAAATTCTCCATCTCTCTTGCCTTCAATGACAAGATTTTGTATTAAGAGCATATCATCTAGGACAAAAGAAAGACTATGACAAAAAGCATACTGACATCAGTGTTGGTCTGATTTCTCTTTGCTCAGATTAGGGCTTAAATCCTTGCCCTAACCTCATAGTCTCATGTAGGAAATGCTACCACAGATGCCTTCTTTCCACGCACAGTATCTACTTTGTGCTATCAAGCTTCAGGATCGGTCCTGCATGGTTTCATATAGAGTCAATGTATGTATGTACGTATGTACCTGTGTGTGTGTATATACAAAACTTATATGTGTATATATAGAGGGGATAGTTTAATGTACGTGTATACTCAAGACAAAGCCAAGAGTGCATGTATGTTATATATAAAATATCTTTAATGACAGTATAATTTTATGCAGACTAATTGCTTAGCCAATATTGCGTTATACTTTCCAGTAACAGCAGAAATTTTTGTTTGTTTTTTGTTTTTCGGGATGGGGTTTCTCTGTGTAATAGCCCTAGCTGTCCTAGAACTAGTTTTTGAAGACCAGGCTGGCCTCGAAATCAGAAATCTGCCTGCTTCTGCCTCCTGAGTGCTGGGATTAAAGGCATTCGCCACCACCGCCTAGCTCAGAAATGTTTTATTAGGACGAGAGTTAATAATATGTGATATCCAGCAATAGTGAGCATTTACTGTCTTAATTTTTAATTCTCACAAAGATCCTAATTCATTTTTCTAAGGGGGTAAGATCGGAGATTTACCAGTTACTCAAAGTGAGGTATACCCGATGGCAGCTCGTTCTCAGTCACTGTTAGGCTTACATCAGATGATCCTTTTCCTTTGTAGCAGAGAACTAGAGGGTAACTATTTTGACCCCATTTGTTTATTAAAGTGGAATGTTTTTTGATCCATCCTTTAAAAGTTTTTCACGTATTTGGTTATCTGCTGAGCCATCTCACCAGCCCTGTCTTTTGACTTTATTGTATCTTTAGCCCAATATTAAGAAATTTCCCCGAAGACTCATCCTTTTTGCCTTAAAGTCTCAACGGGTGACTGTAACATGACTGCTTGTCCTGCTGTCTACTTTGTCGTGTGTGTCCCCCCCCCAGCATTGACGTGTAGCCACTTTGAACAGTAGAAGTGTAAGGTACATTCTTAATTTTAAAGAGTCTCTTATACCATTATGTTTTGAAATGTTGAAGCAGTATTTTTGCTATATTGGGTTAAAGAAAATCAAAGTTAATTTCCCTTGTTTTTATTTCTGTTATCATTGGAGGAGTAAGTACATGTGATGGCCATTGCGGTGGATGGAGTTACTGTAGCGAGTGTAAATGTAACACAGCCGAGTAAGGCAAGGGTGTTCAGGTTGAGAACTGTCACCCGTCAGCCTTTGTGGGACTCCAGTGCTGCTGTCTTTACATGGAGTATTTTAAGGATGTTGTGCCAATTTTAAACTTCATTACTTAATGTTGTAATCATTTAGGGTAAACTGCTTAAAGTTTAAGGGGTCACCATTCATTTGGCTTGATAGACCTAATTGTCAGTCATACTGATCGTCAATTCTATGTTCTTCTCTTTATCACGTTTATATACTAAACTTTATAGGAGGTCATGAAGTATTTTGGCCTCTATATTAGTCTAAATCCTAAACATCAGGAAAAATCAAAAGTAGGTTATATTTCTCATTGAACTTAACACTGGCTGCCATTCCTCAAACCCACATGGTGACCCACAACAGTTTGTAACTCCAGTCTGAAGGGATCTGATGCCTTCTTCTGGCCTCCTCAGGAACTGCATGCCCACAGTACACACATACATTCAGGCAAAATACCCATACACATAAATCAAAATTTTACAGCACTACAATTTTTTTGAAAAGATGCTATTAAAGGAAAAGTTTTTTTAAAAAAATTTAAACCCTTAGCAAATACAAACCCACAGATTTGATTGGGTATTTGAAATGCTTTATCAAAATCAAAACTGCCTTTGTTGAAAATGAAAAAGTATGTAAACCATATCTGAGTCTTTTTCAGACAGGGAATTTAAAAAGTAGTTATTGGGCTGGCAGGATGTCTTAGCAGGTAAAGGCACTTGCTTCCAAGCCTGAGGACTTGACTTTAGTCCCCAGAACTCACATGGTGGAAGCGGGGGTGCTGTCTCCTGAAGGTTGTCCTCTGATCTCTTTGATTCAGGGTAGCCCAGGATGGTCTTAAGTTTACAGCTCCTCCACTCAGTGCCCTCAGTGCTGTGATTCTGGGCATGTCAACCTGCGCAACTGAAAGGAGATATTCCCTACAGTGTGTATGTGTGGTGTTGTGTTGTGGGTGGGGTGTGTGTGTGGTGGGGGTGATGTTTTCTAAACCAGTGCTAACATTTTATCTCTCTTCTTTCCTTAAAGCCCAGTGAAGACTTTTGGCAGTATAACACATTCCAGTACTGGAGGAACCCTCTACCACCTCTTGATCTGGCGGCTCTTGAAGATGTGAGTGCAGACAGTTTGACAGAAACACTTCAGGACAAGAATGAAGTAGTTGAGATTGACATGGAATCCTGACAGGAGAAACTGAAGAAGTGGATTTTTTTTAATTTGAAAAGAACTAAAGGAAATGTTGTTTTCCGTCCTTGACATTTGACATGGTACTGTTGTCAAATCTGAAAAATGAGGAAGAATTTTCAGGCTTAAATACTTGTAATTACTGCTGAATATCCTAATGAGATTTTTAAAGGATATAATATAGTTGGAGGCAAAATACTTGCATTTTTAATGAAAGGGGTTTTGTTCCTGCTCTAACTTTGGAGATGCTTATCTTGGAAAGGGTGTTGCAGCTTTAGAGGAAGCACTCAGCACTTCTTCTCTTGCTCTGTCAAATGCTCCTCTGCACCAAAAAGCTTTCTTGCGGTACATGGAATGAACACATTTAACATTTATATAACCGATGCTAATAAATACTTTCTAGTACATTTTATTGGCTCCTCTTGGTTGAACAAGTAGACTTGAGTATCTATGCAAATTTAAAATGTGAGATTGTTTCTTAAGCTAATATTGTTTTAGAAGACTATAAATTTTAAACTAGTGAGAATTTCCATTTGGGTAGCTTGTTTTAACTTTCAGTATTTGCTGTTTATTAGAGGCAACAGATATAGCCAAAAAAAACTGGATAAAGAGCAGTAAGAAGTAGATGCCTGCCCCTCCTCCCCTTTTCTGAAGTGAAAGGAATGATGTGGTCAGTGTATTGAGTTTTGGTTTGAGTCCATTTTGTTACTGTTGACTACTTTAGCCCCGCAGTTCTCAATACTGATAGCACTTTAACAGGTTTTGGTTTTTTGAGCCCCACCCTAGAGAAATTTCATTCAATTATTTGAAGGTGGGCTTTACACATAGTCAGTCTTTTATTATTGTGTTGTTTTGGGCGCCAAGTCTGTATTCCTGTACTGTGCAGACCTGGCCAGAACCACTAGACTAGGAGCTTTTCCTGTTTAAAGGAGATGATCGCTAGTGAGCTGAAGAATGCCTGTTTGTTAGTCTTGTCCTTAATTTGTTACATTATTGGATCTGTTACTTCTAAGTTATTGTGTTACAGTTTTATTGTTAATAAAGTACACTGTTTATGCTTGAGTTATGTATCAATTACTGCTTTTTGTATTGCATACAGAATGCTGGCTTTGTTACCGAATAATTTGTTTATGTTTGTATTTTTGACATTAAATCCAGTCCAAAATTCAGAAAAGATAGTTGATGTCAGTAAGAGGAAAATGAGAAATAATAAATAGTATCTACCTCAGAGTGACTACTTTTTAAAATGTTATGTTTGATTGGCATGTTTTTCTGTGGTTGATCCTCACTCCCATCTGCCTGCCTGTCCAGGCTTCCCTGATGTTTTTTTCATACACAGGGCTGTTGTTTCAGCCTCTTCATCCTCCTTCTTTAAACCTTTTCTACCTCCTGGGGCCCCAGTCTCAGTCTCTTTTCCTGTTGTGATGCCATCAGGATCAAAAAGCCACTTAGGGTAGAGAAGGTTCACTCCAGCTCTGCCGAGGCTATAGTTCCCCTTATGGAAGTCTCAGCAGCAAGGGCAGGAGGCAGTGGACACGTGTACTCACTCTAAGATAGCCTTTAAAATGGCAACTTTGTATATGGATGTGGACACTTGTTTTCTCTGTGGTGGTCAGTGAACAACTTGAGAGTTGGTCCTGCCGGCTGTTTCCTGGGGACCAAACTCAGGTCATCAGGCATGGAAAGCCAGTACCTTTACCTGCTGAGCCAGCCCAATAGCCGTCACCTTTTGATATGGTCCAGGATTACTTCCCAAAGAATGTTTCTACCCACAATGGCAAGCCCTATCTCAGCTGGGGTCAAAATAATTTCTCCCAGGTGACAATAGATCTTGTCAAGTTGACAGCATCACAGACCTATCTAGTTTCTTGGCTTGCCTATGCTCACTCCCTCAGATATATGTTTGTTAGAAGCAGATCTATTTTAAGGGAAACATTTAATACTTGTTTTTCTGAACTTGGGTTACCTCACCTAGTACTTTCTTACATTTTCCTACAACTTTTTGGTTGTGGTTGAATAAAATTTGATTGCATGTGTCACATTTTCTTTGTCTGCTGATAGACGTTGAGGCTGATTTCATTTACTCCTCTTGTGACTAGGTCAGGAATAAACACAAACGTGCACACACCTCTAGCAGGATATAGAGTCTTTTGGATATGTGTATGTCCAGAAATGGTATAGCTGGTAGTTATATATGGTCATGTGGTAGCTCCACGTCTAGTATAGGGATATTTTTTCTCTTTCCTTTTTTGTTTAGAACTTCACCCTGACAGTGGCTGTACAAGTTTACATTCCCATGAACAAAAAGGGTTTTCCCACAGCTGTTTTTTTATTTTTTGAGACAGAGTCTTGTGTAGCCCTGGAACTCCAGGTGTGTTCCACTACACCCAACTTGGCATTTGTTTTTTTGATAGCCCTATTCACAAGGGTGGGATGTAATCACTACATTTCAATTTGCATTTCTCTGCTGGCCAAGGACATTAAACTCTTCAAAATACTTCTTTGTCCTTGTGTTTATTTTAAGGACTGTGTTCAGTTCGTTGGCACATTTATCGGTTGGCAGTATGTATGTGTGTGTCACAGTTCTTTGTATACTGGGTATTAGCTCCTTGTCTGGAGTGTGACTGACAAAGTCTCCACGTGTCACCCATCTTTTCACCCTACTGAAGCTTTTGCTTTGCAAGAGCTTCTTGGTTTTATGTAATCCTGCTCTGTGATGCTGGAATTCTATCCAGCAGATGTCTCTATCTACATTTGAGAGTTGTTCCTATGCTTCCCTTACAGGTTCAGCATTTCATGTTTTAAATTAAGGTCTTTGGTCCCACCTTGGATCTGTTGAAATAGAGTTAGATGTAATTTAATTCTTCTGTAGATGGGCGCCTTTGCTGGGTGAAAATAACCTTGGACTGATCCTCCTGCCTCCACCTCCCTGCTGGGATTACAGGTGTGTGACACCTCACCTGGTTTATGGGATGTTGGGGATCAAACCTAGGGCTTCCTGTATGCCAGGCAAGTACTCTAACAACTGAGCCGCACGCCCAGCCCATAAATATTACATTTAGAGGTATATTACGTAATAGAGAGTTGGTAGATTTGCTTAGTAGAACAAAGACGACAGGAAGAAACCAATGAACTTGATGGTGGAGCAAAAGAAATGATTATAGCTCAAAACAAAAAAGATCACTACAAGGAACAGAATCTCGGCAGCTCAGGGTGCAATACAGAAACTCAGAATAAGGCTGGGCGGTGGTGGCGCACGCCTTAAGCACTCCAGAGGCAGAGGCAGGCGGATCTCTGTGAGTTCGAGACCAGCCTGGTCTACAAGAGCTAGCTCCAGGATGACAGGCTTCAAACCACAGAGAAACCCTGTTTCGAAAAACCAAAAAAAAAAAAAAAGAAACGCAGAATATTTACGTCACTGAAGCTCTAAGAATCACTGACTGGGAATGCAGCTCATAGTGCTTGTTCAATATATGTGGTGAGTCACTGGGATCAGTACGAAAAAACACGGGATGGGGGTGAAAGTAATATTACATAGAACCTTATTTTGAGGAATTAGATCAAGTGGATACATTTCTTTATAGGCATAAACTACTACGGCATCTTCATAAATATATAACCTTAATAGTCTCATGTCTATTAAAAAAAAAACCCTAAATTCATACCTTGAAAATTTCCAACAGTCCTTTGGAGTCATGTAATCTTGCTGGAAAACTCTTCCAATTATTTAAGGTAGAAATAACACAATTTCCTTCAGAAAAATGAGAGAAACACTTTTCAGTTCATTTTGCAAGGCCAGTGTCACTCTGATTCCAAAACTAGACAAACATCTCTCATGCACATAAGCATAGAAGTCTTCCTCTACAAAATGCTGAGAAATAAAAAAAATATTTATTAACATAAATATACATATTCCTCTCTGATATCCTAAGGTGAGTTTAATAGTCATTCTTTTTTCTTTTGCTTATCTAATTCTTTTTAATCTGCATATTTCATTTTGCTTTTTAATCCAAGACAGACACTACAGTCATGATTGGTCCTGAACATGTTTTGAATCTTCACGGGGCTAATGAGTCTTTGGAAACTCCAAGCTGTTGGAGTGACATTGCTCTGTGTATAAATAGTTTAGTATTCCAGCCAGTAACCGGCTTTCAAATATGCTGGCTCGCCCTCCAGATGAAAGGTGGAGCTATTGCATGATGCTTATTAAAATTTCAAAACAATCGTTTTACTTACATTAGTATAGCTTTTCTGATGTGAACTCATAAAACTACAGGTGCGAAAGTGTGGGATCATTCATTGGTGCCCAGTTGATTACCAGCCCTGCTTTATAGGCATCTTCTGGATAGTGAGTTCCAGGTCAGGGTAACAGCTGGGGAGTCTACACAAAACTAAATCTGTCAACTAACAATAGTGTGCACTCCTTTTCTGATTATATAAATGGCATGTGCATATATAGGAAATTTAAAGCATAAAAGGAAAAAAAATTGAAATTCCATTTCCCAGAGACAACTCCAGACAATATTTTGCTTTGTTATTTCTTATCTACAATTATACAAATACATTTGAATCTATTATGGTTTATTTTTAAGTAACTCATGAACATTGTTAGACACATTTGGTCCCCTGCCCCCAGATTCTGTATTGTTTTATCATATTTCTGCCTTTTGGACTATGTATCAGCTTGAAATTTCCAGATTTTCAGTGGGAGATGGGGAGTGATGAAAGAGGGTACGGTGGTGTGTATAGGCCTAACCCAACTCAGTATACATATGTATGGAATTGTTAGAGTGATACATACCTACATACGTACACACACACAGGCAGAGGGAGTGATGAACGGGTACAGTAGTGCATAGGCCTAACCCGACTCAGTATACATATGTATGGAATTGTCAGAGTGATACATGCCTACACACACGCACACACGGGCTTTTGGTCTATTAAAAAGCAACTTGTGAAATGTAAGCAAAGAGTTGAACACAAACAATTATTTTTAAACGACACCAATATAACTTAGAATAATGTATAGTAGCATGAGGTGAACATCCCACCCAGCCCCTCTTGATGGACGCTATGACGGACGAATGACAATTATGGACTAAAAGGAAAGGTGACATCATTTTACATGAGATTTATTATTAAAATATATACACAATTTTATTCGAATCTAATGAAGGAAATTAAATCAAGTGCTATTTCCCAGATAGATGTTTCTTTTACATTTTTATTTCTCTTTTAGAGTAGTTAAAAGTGCTTATACCAAAGGCTCACTTCCGAGTTGAGGGCTAAGACACGGAACATACTGTGATTAACTAGTGTAGCTTGTGCGTCTCCACACTGCCTATCTCCTGCCAGACAAAAGTGTCTCTTCGTTACCTATTGCTTAACAAAGGACAGTGTGAAGGTTGAAAACCAAGATGATAAGGTAAGCAGCAAGGAGATGCACGTATCTTCCCTGCTACATCTAGAGAGTCTTCTCGTGCCTGTTCCTCGGCCTGAGGCACCTTAGGATCCCCCTTCTTTGAAGCCGTGAATACATTGTACGGCGCTTTCAGCGCAGTTCGTACATCCACTCCCCCCACACAAAGGGAACAGTGCTGACCTACGTGCTTCCACTTTGGAACCCATTGAGAGAAGGAAGGAAGCAAGAGAATGACAGAAAGTCAGAGAGAGAGAGTCAGCACAGCTCCAGCTCCCCGTGGGAACAAGAAGGCCCTTCCCACTGTAAACTTACCACCACAAAGACATTAAACCACATCTGTTTTCCTTGCTGCCTCCAGCTTTCTCCACAACACATGTTCATCTGCTGATCAATTACACTTACGGAATTAGCATTATGAACTCATGATTAACCTACTGACGTTTTAGCTTATCTGCCCCAGCCCTTGTCTCATAGCTTCACAATTGGTCTTTCATGGGACCAATTTCAGGGCTTCTAGCCATGATATCATCTGGCCTCTCAGCCTTTCCTTTGCTATCTTTCTCCATAGCTGAGCAATTCTTCGATTTTACTTGTCTACAAAACCAACAACGTTTAGACAAGGCTAAGGTCTTCCGCT